AGATACGATAACGCTTTGACGGTCTACTCGCAGACGGAAGATAAAAGGCAAGTTTGAAGATAAATAGAAGATTTCCGCAGAAGAAAAGGAAGGATCGACAGATATGGAAAGTTCCTGAAATATTCGGTTTCGAGCAAAATGGAAAGACTAAAACCGCCTAAGGAGGAGTATATAAGGAGGAGGCATAGGGCAGAAGCTGGGGACGAAATCCAGAGCTCTCATCTGAGACTTTCAAAACTTTTCTAGATTTAGAATTTTCCGCACTTAGAAACTTAGGCTTTTTCTCGACAAGTTCGGTTTCTATGACTGGCGCTCAATTACTAGACGAACTCGCCCAGGCAGTTCGATCTATTGTCCAGCTCTATCAACTGAACTACGTTCGACTTGATCCCCGAAAGGGGTACGTAGGCAGCCTTTCATATGGTTCAGTCCGAAATCGTTCAAACCTTTTTTCCTATCTTTTTCCGTTTTTCGTTATCAAGCTGCGACTCGACTAGATCTAGGGTTTTATGTTTGTAACTCGCTGATGGCCCCTGCGGCCAAAGCCTTTGTAATTCCTTGTAATGATCGCAACGCTCTTACGCGAATCAGAAATAAGATCGACTTTCTTTATAAATTTGTTTTATTATGTTTTTCATATTTTTCCGCATTTATTTGGTTACTTGTCGTTGGCTTTCGCAGAGATCCGGTTCCTCGGGAAAATTAGGGTTTTCCTAATTTTCCTTATTTAACGGAAATCGACAAGTGTGAATTTCGGTTCCCACATATATAGCTAGGTTAGCCGACTTGGCTATAATGTATATATAGTCACACACACGACCTATGTATTAGGGTTATCATCAGAATTGCATTCTTAGCATAGGAGTGGGTTTCATAAGACTTTAAGCGAGTGAAAGTACTAGGACTGGGAGAGGTTTAAAAGGTCTTGTATTCGACCTTAGAACGTGTGAGGCTAAGACAACAAGTCAAGAGGGTCTTGATCTTGTTTGAATTATGTTTAAAGAGACTTGTAAGTTTTCTTTAAAAGACTATTGTATACACAAATATCTTTGTAGAGATATGGTGATGATTGGTTTGACTTTGGCTCTAATAATTTAGTTGTAAAAGTTTAGCTACATGTAAATTGGTTACATCTGTAATGTTATTGCTGTAGTTTTTTTTACAGAGACTTTCTTGTTGTTAAATTTTGTTGTACCTATAAGTTATAGACTGTAGATATATTAAAATAAAATATATGAAATATGTGATATATATATATATATATAATTTATTTTAACAATTAAATAGTTTATATTAATATTTTTTATAAGTTATCAAAATCTTTTGTTATTTAAAATGTGATATTTAAATAAAATTTATATTATTTAAAATATTTCAATAATTTAAATCACCCAAAATTAAATTAAATATTTATAGAATTTTTTAATTATGGCTATCTAATTCTTTTGATAGTATATATAATTTTGTTTTATTTTACGGATTATACATGCTATAAAAGAAAACTTTAAGGCTTTTACTTAAAATACATAAGAAAAAAATTTACTTTAGTTTTTTTTTGCTATAGCTTTAAAAATAAAGTTAAACAATGATTTGTAAAAAAAAAAATATAAATTTGATGTAAGCTTAATTTTAATAATAAAATTACAACATGATTGCTAAAATTTATTGATTTAAAGATATATAAAATTAAAGTATGAGATAAAATCCAACCAAACATCCATATTCTCCGATTTATTTTGTACTTTACATATGTTTAGTTCTTTCATTACAGAGAGCACTGACACGAGTTTACATAAATTGTTACACAATCACCATCATAATCAAAGACAAGGAGCCATCTGTTCCATCATTTAGCAGCTTCGTCTTTACCCACAATGGTAGAAACGTAATAATCGGCAGAAAAAAGGGCACGAAAAAAACACAAGATCCCTCCGATGGTGAGTAAATGATGTGTGAACCCACAAGAGGATCCTGACTTGCGGTTCGAATTCACTCCAATCGCCAAAGTCACAGCTGCACCGACGGATGCGATCCTGTGATCACCATACAATCAACACACACTACGTGTTATTGATTCGGGAAAACAATTATTAATGCCAAGAAGATTGTACTGGTAACGTAACGAACGTACCAACCGAGGAAGTAAAAAGCATAGGAGATTTTTTTACTGAAAAAAGATCTTTGAACCTCGTCTTGAGGGGATATAAAGAAAAGGGCTCTGAAAAGAACGAGGATCTGATCGATTTCCAATATTAGTATTGCACCTAGACCTAGCCTGAACGCTTTATGGCTCGGCTCACTGCACACCTACATCCACATATGTAACCAGACCATCCTTTAGAATGTACATTAGAGTAGGAACTCGATTGAACACTTATAAACAGTTTGAGTCAGTCCTATATCCAAACTATCATCATCATGCAATGGGGCCATGGGGGATAACATTTAACTCTGAGAGAGGAAATAAATATAATACCCGATTTTGAGAGACTCCTGCTAGGATTCCGACTACTGAAGCGGCTACATCTAAGCCCACGATGAATAGACAAACAACGATATCCCATATCCTGTTCATTTTTAGTCTCTTTTTTTCTAATTATTAGGATTTAGTTTTGTTGGAGATACTTTGAGAAGGTTAAAGTTACAAGAAGAGGAGAGGCTTCCCTGTGAGGGAGAGAATGTTGCTTGGAGTCTAAGAGTAGTGCGAAGTCTAAGGAGTAATATCTTCTATGACAAAATGGGGTTGATATATATATATATACGAGTAGTCAGTCAAGTATGAGTGTGTAAGATATTTATTCTCGCTGACCATAACATACAATTTTGTTGGTGAATTCATATAATGATTATCCATCATATTTCTTTTGATGAAACACTTGTCCTAGTTATACAAATGGTCATATCATCATTTATTATTACATATTGTTTTGACTAAAATAATCAATTCAATGAAACACTTCTCCTAATTTTATAAATAATTATATCATCATCATTACTACACATTCTTTTAACTGATCATATCATTACTACACACATATTTTTTTACTATAAAAAGAAGTATGTGTAATGATAAAGATGATATGTACAAATATCATTATAACACTTTCACTAGAAAGATATGACTAATGTTTGTATATAGAATAAAAACACAAGAAAGTGAAACCAAAAGCTTTGTACTTATCATCTTTCTCTTGTACAACACATCACACACCATCACAATAATTGTTTTTTTTTTTGTCATCCACCATCACAATAAATAACATAGGGAAATTTCACAAAAATACCTCAAATAAATTTAATTAAATTTGTAAATACCCAAACTTTTTCTATCCATTTTAATATCAAAATTAATTATTTTCTCATTTTAATACATTTACATTTAATTTCTGCTCATTTTAATACATTTAATTGTGTTCATTTTAATATTCAAAATATGCTAAAGATATTAATGTCAGACAATTTTTTAGAAAATATCTCAAAAATTCAAAATAAAAATCTGAAAATTCCAAATTGAGTAATCAGAACTAAACTGTTGATAATACCAAAAAATTATAATATTATTTATTTATAATTTATATTTATTTTGTATTCCGAATTGAAAATTAATTTTTAATTTTATTAATAATTTAATTTTAATATATTTATTTAATTTAAAAAAAAAATTAAAATGTAAAATAAAATAAGAAATTTCTAAGTTTTATTTTAGAATTTTAGAATCTGTTTTAAAAAAAAATTTTGACCTTATTAATATTAACATATTTTGAGTATTAAAATGGGCACAACTCTAAAAGTGTATAAAAAATGGGTAAAATAATTACTTAAGTATTAAATTGGATAAAAAAAGTTTAACTTAACGTAATGTGGGAGTCGATTTCACCCTACTGTCAAATAAATCGTAAAAAAGGAAACTTCGGGAAAACCCTAAGTTTCCAAAGGAACCGGCTATCTGCGAGAACCGCACAACGAAAATAAGATGACGAAAATACTTAGAATTTAAATGAGAATAAACGAAAACAGAGAGCAAAGAGGTTCTTATTCTGAATCTGCGTTGAACTGGTACAAAAAGAATTGCCGAAAGCGTAAGACCTAGAAAACCCTAATTGAGACGCAGCTCGCTAACAGAAAAACGGAAATATTCCTAAATGCTAGTTTTGGTGGTGAGAGCTCTGAATTTCGTGTTCCTGCTTCTGCCCTAGACCTCCTCTTTATATACTCCTCATCTTGGCTATCCGATCTTTCCATTTCGCCCAGATTTGACTAAATCGGGAATCTTCCATTCT